GTGTTCCCTTTGCCTTCATGGATTATCATCATGGCTATAGATTTCAGCGCTGGAGACTCTCCAGTGTTTCCAGTAGGGCTGCACGATTAATCGCATGCGATATTTAACGCGCATCTTATCAGTAAAGCCGGTTTCCAGCCATAAATACTGAGCTCCCCTCCATCTTTAGCTAAATATACAGCCACCCCAGTGCTGTCATCAAAATAGTCAATTTAAGAAAATTAAATGCTTTTTATTGATACTGGCAGCCATATTTAATTCTGTATATTTAAACCCTCATGTGGCAAATTGGCCAGCTGTTGGGGCGGGACTAAACTGAGACCCGACCCCACAAATGTGAAGATTTCAGCCTTTGGAAAAGGTTTGCCAAGGAAACAGAATCTCAGGTGCAGGTGTCAGACTGTGTTCTTGGAACTAAGTTATATTCATTTCTTTATTGGACCACCAATGCAACAAAGAACCCAAAGTGATATTCAGAGGCTCAGGAAACAAAACATAACTAACTAACTAAAATAAATCACATCTAAAATGTAATTATGCTATAGGTATAAGGCTAATAAATTGTATATTTTTTTAAATGTTTAAAGCAGTTTGGAGTTTATAGTTTGTCAAGAACTACATCAAGAACATAGTTTAACAAAGTATTTTAGGAGTTAAAAATCTTCCTGGACGAGCTTCTAATTTTATGTCTTTACATAGTATATTATTTATGTTCCACTTTATATATTCCACTTGACTATTTTAAGTGGTTGAACAGTGAATATCAACAATGGGCCTCAACATCAGTCAACCCTTTTCCTCACTCTCTTTTGAAACATCACCTAAACCCAAAATAACTCGGGTGACCTACATTGAGTCATTGTTGATTAAGACTCAAAGCCTGTTCCATATCAAGTAAATCCCACCTAGTACATTTTTTTTCTGGAACCTACTGTGATTTGGTCATCATGATCTCAAACTGGGAAAAAAAGAAAGTTGATAAATAATTTGGCAAATTATTTTTCTTTTAAATTAATATTATTCTGGAAAAGTGCCTTCGTGGAAACTTCCCATAAATTACACAGTCGGTTGATCAAGTAGACTGACAGTCTGGGCTCTCCCTGAGAAGGTGGTCATATTTTATGTTCATTGCTCCACACTGCGTTTTTTAAAAATTAATTCTGATGCTGTCCAGTCAAATTTTGGCAAAGGCCAATATTGTCTGTCTATGTTAAAAGTCATTCAATTGTACTGTATATGTCAGTGTATGCATATATGTGTGCACATTTCCATATGTTCATCGGTGTGGATGCCAGATCTCCACATGGTCTACATCAAGTAATGAACTCATTGTCAAACAGTACAGTTACTAAACAGTCCTAACACAGGATAACGTCTCAGGTTACTTATGTAACCATGGTTCCCTGAGTAGGGAACGAGACACTGCGTCCTCTAGGGGTCGCTATGGGGAACGCCTCGTCGTGACCCGTGTCTGAAGCATATATTGAAAAAACACCAACTCGTTGGCCGGCGACAGCCATGACGTCACTACCGGTGCGACTATAGTATAAATAGGCGCCGGGAGCACACATCATTCACTTCTTCGTCTGAAGCTTGCGTCCGCAGCATGGCAAGAAACCTAGAGGACGCCCCCTCGGAGACATCGCGTGCGTGCTCTTTGCCCAAACAAACCGCATAGATCTTGTGTGTCATCAGATGTTAAACACTGTCAACACGGATGCACACATTCTTAAATGCTTTGCTAGTGCTCGCCATAATGAGATGAATAGAGATCGCTCTTACCACAGAAATGCACGCTTCAAACAAAACAGTCAATGAAGACGAAGAAGAGAATGATGTGTGCTCCCGGCGCCTATTTATACTATAGTCGCACCGGTAGTGACGTCATGGCTGTCGCCGGCGTTTTTTCAATGTATACTTCAGACACGGGTCATGACGAGGCGTTCCCCATAGCGACCCCTAGAGGACGCAGTTCGAAGTTCCCATGAAAGGGAACAATACTTTATACAAGCAATCTACATAGCAATGAGAGAGAAAATGTTTTTTGTTAACATAAGAATTGAGTTCTAAAAAAAAAAAAAAAAAAGTACATTGCCTAAGAAATGTCCTCGTTGACCCTCTCCATTTAGTGGACAAAATGTGGGGCCCAAATGAGCACACAAACTCCTGAAAGATTACAAGAATTTATTTGGTATATATACACAGAGCATACATATAGCATGCATATATACAGCACATTATATTTACAAACACTGCACGATATTACATACCATTGGAGGAAGTGGGAAAAAACACAAAAATTGTCACAAATAATAGTGTGTCGTTTCAGAGCAAGACAGTCTGAATATTTTGAAGTCTAATTCTGATAGGTTCACATTTACATCTTTCAGATTTCCCCCTTTTGTGACCGATACAGAGTGAACTGTCAAATCTGTAAGATGTGATATATTTTATGTAACATCAAGCTCTACACAATATGTACAGTAATATATTCTTGATGACAAGACAATGAAACCTTATACACACATAGACACACACAAATGAGGTAGATAACACGGAAAGACAGCACAATCAATTTCATCATTAAACGTAGAGGAAAAGCACTGTCGTTTGAACTTAGTTTAAAATAAAGAGTTTATCACGAGACAGAGTGTTTACTGGAATGAGAGAAAGGCCTTATGATAAACCCAGTAAGGGGTTAACTCTAGAGCCATTAAACGACCCTTGATTACACGTATCAGTGATTCAAACTCTGTTAGACAAGACAGCATTGTTTTAAACATTCCCAAAAGACACAATACAAGGACTATACATATACTCATCCATTTAAACCAACAAACATGGATACACAGAGCTTAGTGTGACCAAACACACACTTAACAGATACTTAAAGAGCTTAAAAGAGAGATCAAAATATTTGCATCATCAAAATATATTTTATTCCAAATATTATAGTGTTCTCCTATAAAAGATACTTGTAAAAATAATATCTATAATAAAACATCTTATTTTATATGACTATGTCAGGAAAATATCAGTGAATGCAGCTCACTTCAGCATTATGGACTAGGTTTAGATTTAGAGAAAACACGCATTATACAGAAATATGCCCACAAAAATTCACAGTATGCAAATAGAATTATAGGGTGGCTCTATTTATATATCTCTAGAAAAATATAACTTTATACACAAATAAATGTTTAAATTCTTACTCACTTTCCACTTACAGGAGACATTTATACAAGTTTACAATGAAATTAATGTTTGAAAAAAAAGTACATTTTATAGGTACAGTCTGTAGCAAGCAATACACAAACAAAAAAAGCAACATCAGATACTAAAAACAAACAAGTAGATGCACAGATTTGGCAGATTTTCACATCAGTGTGTATATACTGTGCCAAAAGCAAAGCAAACACCACTTCCCTTCTTGCCTCATTTTATCTCTGAAATAATGCATATACTCAAAGTTAAGGCACTTATAATGTTCTGACATTCATGTAAAGTTTTGACGGTGGGATTACTCTGGCTTTGCATTCATACATTTCTTGCACTTTTCAAGGCTATCTGCATGCATGTTTTACACAAAATCCCAAATTGTTAATTTCACATACACAACAGAAATAATGTTTTTTTTTTTGGAGAAATGTTGATTTTGTGTTCACTTCAGTGGTAGGTTAGTACCTAAATATACACACCACAGGGGCTGATGTAACATTAAAAGACAGGAAAGTAAATGCCCATTCTTTGGCATTAGATTATGTACATCTTTTGTGACTAGGCACATTGAATCCTTGTCAACAAATGCTCGTTTTGATTTTTAAATTTGAGGACAAAATATCAAAATATAACAGTCTGCTGTTTGCTGAAATCATTACCGTTTATACTTATGTTGAATAATAATGCCCAGCATTTCAAAGTCACATTCTATAAAATCTATAAGTCCATTATTGACTCATAAAATGCTTATTATTATGTACAGACTCTCAAAATTTGGGTGGAAAAAAAAAAACTATTAGAGCACTAGAATCTACTACTACTTATTATTTTGCAACTATCTTTTAAAAGGCCAATTCTGGGAAAGCGCTTGTGCATGTATATCTGTAAATTCATTCATATTTGCCTTTATGATTTTTAAATTATCTTCTAAATGGTGTATAATCTTCCGATAAATATTTGGTTTAGTTAAAGCTTTTTATGGAGTTCAACTTAAATTCTCTACGCATTTCATACAATATTCACAGAATATACAGTATTTTACAATATTCCAAAAACTGTCCTATATATTGAAAATGCCTCTGATCAAGGCTTTTACACCCTTCACTCATGGCGTCTGAATCTTGAAGACCACTAGTGCAGTCAGCCAGATAAGAGTTATAGTATAAAGAATACTATATGTAGAATTAAAGGAACACTCCACTATTTTTGAAAATAGGCTCATTTTCCAACTCCCCTAGAGTTAAAGAGTTGAGTTTTACCGTTTTCGAATCCATTCAGCCGATCTCTGGGTCTGGCGGTAGCATTTTTAGCTGTAGCTTAGCATAGATCATTGAATCTGATTAGACCGTTAGCATCTCGCTCAAAAATGGCCAAAGAGTTTCTATATTTTTCCTATTAAAAACTTGACTCTTCTGTAGTTACATCGTGTACGAAGACCGACGGAAAATGAAAAGTTGCGATTTTCTAGGCCGATATGGCTAGGAACTATACTCTCATTCCGGTGTAATAATCAAGGAACTTTGCTGCCGTACCATGGGTGCAACTATTTTCAGGCTCTGCGTAATATCATTGTGCCTGCTGCACCCATGGTATGGCAGCAAAGTTCCTTGATTATTACGTTCCTCGATTTTCCGTCAGTCTTAGTACACGATGTAACTACAGAAGAGTCAAGTTTTAAATCGGAAAAATATCGAAACTCCTAAGCTATAGTTAAAAGTGCTACCGCCAGACCCGGAGATCGGCTGAATGGATTCGAAAACGGTAAAACTCAACTCTTTAACTCTAGGGGAGTTGGAAAATGAGCCTATTTTCAAAAATAGTGGAGTGTTCCTTTAAATGATTGGCATCTGGGTTTTAAAAGACTAATATTGACTTAATTATATTGATATTGGCCTATTCATAATAGATTTCTCTTGTCAAATTTCTGAAATATGTATGCTTGATTTTGTTTAGGTGAAGACAGAGCCTTTGTGTAATCTCGCAGAGTACTAACTGTTCCTCTAGACCGCCTTCATGCCATAATAAGTGATGTAAACAGCCTTTGTTATTTTCACGCTGATCTCAACCATATAAGGCAAAAACAACACTCTCTTGTGGGGTTCAAGAAAAAAAAGCAACATTTCAAAACTCTCTGGGATCTTGATTTGGTTATTTCCCTCACCTCTAAATGTAGCTTTTTTCATCCGGTTGTATGTTCAGCCTAAACATTTCAATTCCGAATAATGAAAATAATAAGGCCTCAGGACATGCTACGAAATCACATATTCTTCCAAAAATGTACAAAGCATAATGCCAATGGAAGAATCATCAGTCCAGCTGCTCTATGCATTACTGCTGCTTGAACACGGCGTGCTCTGTGTGCTGTCAATACTGTGAGCCGCACTGCTGTTCTCAGACACCGGCTGAGACTTTGGCACCTGCTGTCTCGCTCCCGTGCCACCTGAAAAGAGAGATGGATAAATAGGATGTCAAGGCTTACAGAGACTTTCAGTGACTTTCTGTGATTCAGGTCTTTCAGAATGGCAGAAGCTGTTAAGCCATGAAAGCATAGTAACCCTTTGCATTAAGTGGTTTAGTTGGTGCACTTAGAGTATATTCATTTTGTGCACTGATTAGCATAAAAACTTGAATAGCTTCAATAGCAGCAGACTGGAAAGTTGGATACAGATTAGAATGCTTGATATGTACATTATCACCATATCACCATCTTTACTCTTAAAAAGAAAGGTTCTTTATCAGCATCTATGGTTCCAAGAACAACTTTTAACATCCATGGAAACTTTCCATTGCACAAAAGGTTATTTACAGTGGAAAAAGGTTCTTTAGATTATTAAAATGTTCTCCAGACTAAGAAAAAAAAAAAGAAGAAGCTTAAGAACTGTTCACTGAAGAATTCTTTGGGGAACCAAAAATGGTTCTTCTATGGCATCGATGCTATCTTTCATAAAGACTCAACGAAAGCTCAATTCGTTACTCACGGAAATACCGAGTTGCGTATACATACACATGGGGGTCAAAAACCCTTCACGGCATTGTCATTCTCTGTGCTTTAAATATTATATATATATATATATATATATATATATATAGATATCTGCCATGATGAAACCCAAAATTGTTTCCACAAAAACAAAATTGCCCACAATCACACAAAACTCCGCATTTGAACAGTCAATAGCAAATACTTAAACTAGTAACAAAACATACTTACTACTTACAGCTGATTCAGAATAAGCGCCAGATTGTCATAGCAAAGTCGGAATTGACACATTTTTTTTTAGAAATAGCCTTTGCACAGCCAGCCTTGTAGGCTACTCTCCTAGGTTCACAAAACTGTCGTCCATAAAATGCGTTGCACAAATTTGAACATCTGGGTTGTGCTGTTCTGTTGTAAATAAATCTTAACTAATGATTCCTCATTGCATCTAATTTCGGAAGGCCAAATAAAGTGCTTTTGCTTTCGCAGAGAAACACACAGCATCTCCCTGACATGGGTGCATCAACACTACTGCGGTTCCTGAAACCATGCCTTCTATCTTTGCATGAACATTTGGGCGGCATTACGCAAATATTTCCACATCGTGATGTAGAGATGTGGGGGCGTGTTCGAAAGAGGCGTTTTAGCCCAGTCTGGATCAGCCTTCTCTTTTAGATAGAATACATCCTTTTGTGGGAGACTTTGAGCTTTGTAACTCTGCAGATCTTATACATGCACAAATAGTTACATAACACACTAAAGAAAAGGAAAAATAGAAATTGCATCATATGACCCCTTTAAATCTATTGCACCACATTATGAGGACCAGCAAATATTCATCCCAATGCCTTAGTACACTGCAAGAATATTTGCCTATGCCTTTATGGGTACAACAGTTTAGTACCTTAGAGTAGTAACACATACCCTTAAGGTAGTACTCTTATGGTACTATTATGAACCCTTCTGGGTTAAAGAAGGTACAAGGGTGTCCCTTTGATGGTACTGCCACTGTGACAAGCTATTATACCCCTAAATGTACAATTTTTGCACATTTTTTTTTTCTGAGAGTGTATGCAATATATTCAGTATTACATATAGTCGTTTAATTCTATCAAACCTATATAAACTTTCATTTACGCTTACAAAAGTATAAATACAGCATTGGATCATTTCTGCATGGTCACATATCTTTTATGTGACTGAAATATTGCCACTCAAACAAAACACTGTCAACAGTTCTCATGTCATCTTCGGTTTAAATTACCACTGGACTTGAATTGCTTTCTCTTAAGGAAACGTGCAATGCTGTATTTGAATTTGGCCAAAAAAGGCATCTAAGGAGGTTGTATACTCAGTTCTGGAACAAGACTTATGTCTGTCTCATTCTTCTCTCTTTGTCTTCACTGATTATTGTTCTAGATGGATATAAACATTCCTCTATCAGGGGCCTCAACTCTGAAGCAGAGCGGCAAGTAAGAATGCATGTAATTCATCTTGTAGAGAGTTTGTGTCTGACAGAGAGTTGAATAGTTTTTAATCAAATTCCAGGTTTGCTTTGCATGCCATTTGATTAAAATATCAATATTAAGCACTCTGCTCTCCTACACTACATACATCCGAAATCTCTATAAAATGTCTGTAAATAAATTCCACCAACCCACTATTGTAAATAGTAAGTGTGTTTATGTGTGAGTTTCTCTTCTCAGCTCAACTGGACGTGTGTCTGCTTCCCTGTTTTAGGCCCCTCTGTTGCTAATATGTGCCAGAGATGTGCTGCCAAGAGCTCCAGCTAAAAACAGCCTATTTCCTCATCCAGCGCTGTGTACTAGACTCAGAGGCTTATCTGCCTCTGTACACCTCTCTTTTACAACCAATCTTCTTGCGAACGTACACAGTGGCAGCACGCAGACTAACAACATATGTTGGTTATATAATTATATGAAACACTACCCTAAACAGAGATGCATTTTGGTGTATATGTGAGAAAGAGTTTGATGGCAGCTTGTTGACCTCTTCCACTCGATCGTGTCATTTCATTGTGTAACTCCCACTCTGTGTGCACAGGGGCAGCGTCCTTAACCTATCAGTGTGATCTACGACAGGGATGGTGACAGGATTACAGGAGCTGTTTTCTAACAGACTCCTGCAACATTCCACACGTAGCTTTCCCTAAAATAGGAGCATCCCTAATGTATGGAACAATGTATGTTTTACAATTATGTACTCACAATCAGGTACTTATTATACGCATCACTCTTTTGGTGTAAAACAGTGAAGGATGTGCATTAAGTGTGAACTGAATGTTTTACTGCACTATACTATACTATACTATACTATGGTGAAGTGAAGTGAAGTGACATGTGGACAAGTATGGTGACCCATACTCGGAATTTGTGCTCTGCATTTAACACTATACTGTTGTTACTGTTAAGTAAAACTAAAATCTATTAAAAATAATTTAATTGAAAATAAATAAAACACATTCTGGTTGACTCACAGAAGCAGCAAGAAGGAACCAAAACATGCTGTTAATTAACAAAATCAGAGTAAATTATTTCCATATAATATTTTAATCACATTTTGGCTTTAGTACAATGAAAATGTACTATAAACAAAAGCCACATATTTCAATTTGTCAAACAACATTTTTTCCTAATAATATCACAATATTAAATTAGGGGTTCTTGGCAACAAAAAGTCTGTAACCCTTGTCCTGCACTACACTACACAACAGGGACTATTATTTGTCTTTGAGACAGCCAAAGTCACGCACTAGGGAAAAACAGACGATAAATCTGTTGGTCTAACTGACAGAGAGAAAGAGGATTTTGCCTTTTTCTTTCATTTCAACAAAGCCTCTATCTTGCATTTTCCTGCACTTCCCAGGGGAGGAAAAGCACCACCTTGTTTTCAAATTTTTCATCTTTTAGCATTTTTTTTTTCATCTGACATGAGTCTATAATTTAGGCTATTCCAAACATGAAAAGAACTTGGGGTTAACGTCAGTATAAAAAAACAAACAAACAACATGATTCCATATACGGCTATTTAAGTAATATGATTGAATACTTTATAAAACTGTGGTTTGATAGGCCTTTAGCTTGTATGAACTAATCAGTGCCATTATGAGAAACACATGGTTGGAATGATCAGAGCTTACACCACAACCACACTTTTTTTTTCTTTTCATTTGAACATTTAACACCTGTTTCTGACAAGAAAAAGTCACGGTTTTGATCTTAAACTTAGAGGGTAGTCAAATTCAACAGTGCCACCCTGATCTGAGATGCCAGTATAAACAGGCAAATAATAATAAATTCTCTGGGGTTACCTGATCTGAGCTCTTCAGGCCCGTTTAACAACAGTGAGCAGAAACACAGCTGGATAATGTCATCCCAACTGAACACCACAGGCAATATTAATAAAAATTACACTGATTTATGTTTTTGAGGAAAAAAAAAAACCTGGAATAAAAATGAAAGCTAATAAAAGCTAAACATGACTCCTTTTATGTCAAGACACGGATATATCCAAGATATACATGTTCTAAAAACCCAAAAAATAGATAAAATCCAGAAAGGCTTTGATCCTCTGTCAATATACTGATACTCATCGGCCTACACAACTACAGATTCTGGAACAGTGTTCAAAACGGGACTCCCTTCAATCAAGCGCCATGAAACGGTAGCAGGTCAACGGCATTGAGGACAGAAACCAGGGGCCGGACTAGCGGGAATGCAAAAGACCGGAAACGGGGACTAAGAAAGCGCATGTGCTTCCTCTGGAGGGTCAACAGAGGTCGTCGGCCTGGCGACAACAGGGCAATGCAGGGAGGAGGGGCGGGTGAATCTTGGCATTTTCAGAGGGAGGATTGTATATGTATTTTCCTGTGAGGCCTGGAGACACCTTCACAGCGGACAGGGGGAATTCCAGTCCCCCCCCCAATGCCTGAAAGAACGGAAAAGACAGATGCGCTTCTGCTGACAAACGAGATATATTTACGAGCTTGGAGTTAAAATGTTATTGTTAACATATCGCTGCTACTAAGAGAACTGGCAAGCCTTTCCGATGATCAGAAATGAGCATGTTTCCTTTCTTATTTTGACAATATGATAAATTACACAATGCATAACTCTCAGTACTAATTAGTGTGATGCAGGGAATAAGAACAATGGTCAGATGAGTTCAAGGCTGTGATGTGAATATGCAGTATTTTCTCACCTGTATGCGAGTAGATGAACCATAGTGCTCCAGTCAGAAGGGCTCCAATCACAAAGGCAGCAAAAGCGACGCCTACCACAATTGGGGTGTCCAAGAAATATATAATGCCTGCAAGAAAAATGTTAATAAATATATTAAATTATGTCTGTTAAGCATGTAGCAGTTAAAATGTCTCACTCTGTGGTCGAGGTTTCAGTACAGCTTGGTAAATATTTGATACATTGCTATTAGGAGTGAGTTTTTTATTGTAAATTTAACTGGATATCACAGAATGGTGAACCTGTGTTTTATCTCAGGATAGTGTGCATGTTGTGGTTCATGATGTTTACATGCTGTCTTTTGTAAGTGTTTGGTGACCACATACTGTAGAAACTAAGAGCTCATGCTTCGTATGGGCTTTGCAGTGGCATCTGTGAGCAAGCCAAGCATCTCCTTGGACTTGCGCCAGAAACCGAATGACTTTCAGAGCTCTAATTAGCTCTAATGATCATTGATCACACAGCACAATAGACCCTGTGTGGCCGCCAGCTTCATAGCCTGTCTGGTCCAGCGCCAAAATCCCAGGCACAATAGAGGCTATTCTCAGAAAGAGCACCTTCAAATTTTCATCCCCTCTGACAGACTGATGACAGACTATCGCTGGAGCGCTCTGTTACAACAAGAGTGAGCGCTATGTAACAGCTCCCACCTCATACTTTACCCTTTACCCTGAATCACCACTACAATCATCCCCTTTATCACATCTGTGGAGGGCAGCTAAAAAATATAAAGCTTGCCATCAACACCTCTGTCTATATATGTGTTTTTGAGGCCTGGACAAAGGAGGGAGTATTAAAAAAAGACACTACTGTTCAAAAGTTTGGGAAAAGTACTTTTATTTATGGTTCTAAAATTTTACATACCCTAAGGCTGATGATACACGGGGCAACTTTTTGAGCAATTTTGCCGGGCAACTTTTTTTGAGCAATGTTGCTTGGGCACATTCACATTGAAAATGGATAACAAATGTCTATCTGGATACTTTAGATCGGTCGTGGGCCCAGTGTCTCATCTGGTTGCCCGTTGGCGACAACATTGCCCAAAGTTGCCCGGCAACATTGCTCAAAAAGTTGCCCCGTGTATCATCAGCTTAACAACATGAAAAATGCCTTTTAATACACTGAAATTAGATTCCACTGATTTTCCTAATATTGTCTTTTTGTGTTCCAAAGTCATAATGGTTTGGAATGCAAATGATAACAAATTTTTCATTTTTGGGTCAACTATCCCTTTAAGCAAGGCAGAAAATCAATAATAAAGTAGAATCTCACAATGTACTGCATTTCAGGCTTACAAGAGGAAGCAAAACAGAACAGGGAACAAAAGCTTGTATGTTTAGAGGATTCCTGTGAGAAGCTATATCAGCTCAAAGCTCAGAGCCAGGGATGTGGTTTACTTTGCCGTTGCCATAAGTTTGTCTGAGCTACTCCACCCACAATCCCTGTACAGTATTTCAGAGGGAAGTAAATGAACTAGCCCTAATGACTTGGACTACATTTCTATGTAGTCTCCACCGCCCAATATCTCCTCCCGAGTGTCAAACATATTTGTGCTGTTCTTTACTTCACCCTTTTTAGAGCTAGCTGGGTTTCAGAAAGGAAGTAAACTTGAGCGCAAGAACAATACTTTTGTGTGTATTTTTTGGACAAAGATGAGACAAACTTCAACAAGATGATGTGTTTGCCTGATTCTGCAGTATAGAGCACAGAAGTTCTAGAAGTAAAAATCCCATTTATTTTATTAATTGAGAAAAACTGTTTTAGCAAAAACATAAATCTTTGAAGACAGTCGTTAGGTAGTGCTATATAATTTCATAGAAGCCACAAGTTACCATGGAAGTTGGAATCCAATCACACAGACAGTAAAAAAAACAACAACAAAAAAAAACTTGTTGATTACATCATTCACAATTCTTGTCGCATAAAGAGGTTAATTACACAAAGATCAAAACCAGTTTTTGTCCCAAATCAAGTTGTATCTGTTTATCTGTCTTTTATCTGCTTTAGCTGTTTTTTATCTCTGACCTGACTGGTTTGATTTAATACTTAATTTTCATTGTTGAACATTCTTTTTTCATAAGGTTTGGAATACACTACTCAACTTTTAGACAGTTTTCCCCCGATTTGCATTCTGTAGGAATCATTGCTAGTTCAGTGCTTGAAGTCAGAACCAGTCTGCAGATTTTGGGCTGTCAGATTTAACAGATTTCACTGAAAATTGTGTAGTGTATGATGGCCACAGCCTGACAGACTAAACCTGTCCAGATGGAAGATATCAAACATGCTGATATTTTGAGCCGATTTTAAAACACATATTGTTTTAATTAGTCATGCATCTCCTAATAAAGTTTGTTGTATTCATAATAACTTCAACTTGGACTTGATTACCAGCAAATTCAAATTAAAGGGGTCATGAACTGAGAAATCAAAATTATCTTGATCTTTTGACAGATAAGAGGTCATTGTGCTATAAAAATATCCTGCAAGTTTCAGAACTCAAAACTTTCTCGTTAGTCTACCACTTATATTAAAGTCAATCTGCCAAAGCGACAGGTTGTAGAATGTGCCACTTTATTAGGTAATAGTGGCTAATCCCCGCCTCCACAGAAGAAGATCAATGCCTGCTTCAATATCACTGCCTGTTTATTATAATTAAACCGCCCACCGATTCACACACGTAGTGGGTAAATAATGAGAGAGGCAAACGCAGGTCTACGCAGAAATCAAATGATAAAGACGGCTCCAAAGACACCAAGACGCTGTACAGTGCCAAGTTGTGGAAAAACACAGTCTTTGCATTGCCGTCCTTCTGATCCCAACATTAGGAAAGAGTGGATGAACTTTATTTATAATGAAGATCCAGACCACGTCAGTATATGAACTCGGACTTTTGTTCACTTCGTTTCACCACAGATTCGTTTACAAACAAGGCACAATTCGACGCAGGATTTTCAGAAAGACTGAAACTAAGAGACGATGCTGTGCCGAATATATTGGATCCGACAGTAATGTCGCACTACACAAGTGTGAGTAACTGTTTTTATTACGTTGTCACGATTGCTTTGTCTGTTATTACAGATAATTTGATATGTACTGAGTATTTACGCTTTTTTAACCAAAATCACAGCAGCATCCATCTATGAAGGATGTAGGCTGTCAAACATACACAACTGTTAGCCAATCATAGCAGTGGGCATTTACTTCCGAGTCTACAATCCGCCACGACTATTCAAACAGAGCGTTCCGATGAAGGGGGTCAAAACAGGACAGAAAATAGCCTATTACTTCTAAATGATGATGTTTTTTGATGCAAAATTCTTGATAACATTATAAGTGGACCTCAGAGAACAGTACAAAATAAAAAAGGGAGTTCATGACCCCTTTAAGACATTTAAAACAATCTAATTTGAGTTTGTACCTCTGTTTTAGACCAAAAGGGTAGGGAATTATTTTTGTTTTCTGATCATAAATCTGTTTTCGGATGGCAATGTTTTGTTCTGCTGTGTTTTTCACAAAGCATGGCACTCCCACAAACTGCCCTCTTTGATTTGTAGATTAAGCCAAATACTTTTGGATCCTGTCCAGAGCGGCACTTTGAGCCTTTTTGAGAGGTTGCTTTTCTGCCATGTCTGTACAAGAGTCGTCTTTGTGTTCAAAATCAGACGCAAAAACTGTTTTCATTACTTTTATGGCATATCTGTGTTTACCTAATCCACACCAGAGAAAATAAGCCTGGCGTCGGCAACACACACAAGCCTGTTTATGAAGAATAAACCCACCCTGGATTCACATTGAATTCACATACAATCTGAATTTACTCCAGATTTCCCAAGCATGTGTCTTCTGATGCTATGGAACTGATCTTTGATTTTGCTTCTATTCGGAAACAACTAAACCTACATAAGACTTGACTTGGGCCAGTAAAATCCCACCTTGCATCCTTCAGGAGTGGCAATCATTTCCCTAATCAAGTGTGACTAATAGACACATGGTCCATTTGATACAAGCAGCACAGCAACATTGTGTTATTAAACACGGAATGATTTTCATTAAGGCTGCGAGTCAGTAATGTTGACTCTAATCGCAATAGGTGCAGTGGTGACAAGAGGATGCAGGGAAGAGAACAAATCAGTCATGGTTAAATTAAGTTTCTTTGTGAAACGATTAGACACCACCCTGCTGTACTCGAGTATGCTACACAATCTATCTATGGAAAATGCACTCTGCCGCAAAGGAGACTGCAGGTATGCAGTGCATAAGAGCCCTTTCCTTTATCACTCTCACTTTTTTTCCTTATCCTCCACTCCCCTTTTCCCCTCTCTCTGTATGGGAAAGGAAGGCCTTAAAGAATGTTTAAGTGAAAACAAATGCTATCCAGATTTGGAAAGCTGGTCTTTTTGCACTCATCTGATGCATCTATGAGTCCCTTGTCCCAAATCTCTAATGAACCACATACAGGTGCATCTCAATAAATTAGAATGTCGTGGAAAACTTCATTTATTTCAGTAATTCAACTAAAATTGTGAAACTCGTGTATTAAATAAATTCAATGCACACAGACTGAAGTAGTTTAAGTCTTTGGTTCTTTTAATTGTGATGATTTTGGCTCACATTTAACAAAAACCCACCAATTCGCTATCTCAACAAATTAGAATATGGTGACATGCCAATCAGCTAATCAACTCAAAACACCTGCAAAGGTTTCCTGAGCCTTCAAAATGGTCTCTCAGTTTGGTTCACTAGGCTACACAATCATGGGGAAGACTGCTGATCTGACAGTTGTCCAGAAGACAATCATTGACACCCTTCACAAGGAGGGTAAGCCACAAACATTCATTGCCAAAGAAGCTGGCTGTTCACAGAGTGCTGTATCCAAGCATGTTAACAGAAAGTTGAGTGGAAGGAAAAAGTGTGGAAGAAAAAGATGCACAACCAACCGAGAGAACCGCAGCCTTATGAGGATCATGGGCCTGGGAGCGACGAGGGAGGAACCGTTGAAACGCCGCTGCTTGCTTTCTCGCCTCCTGAAACCATTCGACGACAGTATTAACTGCGTCGCCGAAAAGGCCAGAGGGCGAAAGCGGGGCGTCTAGGAGGAAGAATCTGTCCTTATCTTGCATATCGGACAGATTC